ACTCCAACAAATGGAAATCACTTTGGCAGCAATCATCAAGCATGAAGAATGACCCACCTCACTTGTCTTGCTCTCTGAAATGAAAAGTTTCACAAGTCTAACTATGTAATATAAGTAAATGCCTTTAAGGGACTGCTGCTGCTCTTGGATGCTCACTCTATCTGTATATAGTAACATCTACCACAGTTACTGTCTATCTAAACTTCAAATTTCTGTTGGTTCAAGCTCTTGCTTAAAAGAAAAAAGCTATTCAAACTGTAAATTTTTATTGAAAACATAGTAACAGTTATATTACATACACTGCTGTTTGTACATGCCTTGTTGAAACAACTATGGTTTAAGTACACACCATTAAAAGACGTAATGACTTAAGATGGAAGTGGCATGTGAAGCTGATGAACTTGTTCCATAATGTGAATCTAGTACTGTTCTTAGAAGACGCCCTCTGTTACAGGTAAAGGCTGGCAGCAAACACAATATCTCTCTTGATTTTTGTAATCCCTATTAAAAAGGAAAACTCTATTAGTATCCAGCAGTCATAACTGACACAGCTGCTCTGTGAAGAATGGTTACAGGCACCAAATGCTTTGCAGTAGAGAAGGTGTTAGAGGTCTGAAAGGGAAGTCATTGTACATGCATTTTCAGTCACAAACTCGGTTGAACTGTCCCTGTGCCTTCACCACTACGCCTCTTTTAGTCAAACTTTGTAACACAGATATTACCTGGGAAGTGAACAATTATGCTGTTTACCATGAAGTCAATACCAGAAACTTACATTACCAAATCATTCACCCAGGCCCTGCCCTACCTGTGCTGCACCCCCCACCCCCCCACTTTCCTTTCAGATGCTTTCCAGGATTACCTCTTACACTGGGGAAGTGAAATACATACCCTCTGCAAACTTATTTTCCAACTCTGTGTTTCCAATGGCTTTTGCAGCCTGGCACATCTGCCGAAGCAATTCCTCTAGCCTTCTCATGCAACGAATTATGCTACCTGTATAAAACAAGTGAGGGAAGAGTTTGTAACCCCTGCCACAACACATCACTGAATAATTCAGTTGCTTGAGCCCCCTTTGGACCAAAGCAATAGTTCCTTCTCCAACCCTGTTCAATTTATCTGGAGCCAAGGACAAGAACAGCCATGTATCTTAAGCCTGGTTTCTGTTTAACAGTGAATTTCTCCATCAGGCATTTCCTTGATGCTATCTCCAAGTGCTTGTCCCGTTACTGTTTTCTTCTACCTTCACAGTCTGTAACTAACATCTAGTCAGAGGACCTTCTGGGCTGTTCAGTAATTCCTAGTGGATTTTTCTTTCAGGTACTTGTTAAGACTTCCCTCAAAACCCATGCAGGTTTGGGGATTCACAAGTTTCCTGCCTCAAGAACCACCACACATAAGTTTTGGGGTGAGGGTTTGTTTATTTTTCTGATAGCCCTTAGTTCTTTAGTCGGCAGAGACAGGCTACTGTACTACTCCTGTGTCACACAAGAGCCTATGGGCCACGCTACCACACCAATGCATGCTTACAGTCATGCACACAAGCGCAGCCTTGACATAGCTCCTGCACTGCAACCCAGGACCCAGTAGCCTGTGATGCATTCATCTCTTCTAACTTGCTTCTCAGCTCCACCGAAGTCATGGTTTCACCATGACCCTAACGCTTACGCTGTTGTAGCAGCATGCAAACAGCATGCTGTTTGGTCAGCTCCTCCAGCATCGTCTCACACCTACAGTCACCGTTATTCTATGCAAAGGACCTGTCAAAGGGTAAATATGGGCTGAAGGGATCGAGAGCAGCCCTGTGGGGAAGGACTTGGGGGTGCTGCTGGATGAAAAGCTGGACATGACCCAGCCATGTGCGCTCGCAGCCCAGAAAGCCAGTTGCATCCTGGGCTGCATCGAAAGCAGTGCAGCCAGCAGGTTCAGGGAGGTGACCCTGCCCCTCAGCTCTGCTCTGTGTCCAGCTCTGCAGTCCTCAGCACAAGACAGACACGGACCTGTGGGAGCAAGTCCAGAGGAGGGCCATGAAGATGATCATGGGGCTGGAGCACCTCCCCTGTGAGGACAGGCTGAGAGAGTTGGGGTTGTTCAGCCTGGAGAAGAGAAGGCTCCGGGGAGACCTTCTAGCGGCCTTCCAGTACTTCAAGAGGCCCTGCAGGAAAGGTGGGGAGGGACATTTTAGCAGGGCGTGAGTGACAGGACAAGGGGTGATGGTTTTAAACTAAAAGAGGGTAAATTCAAACTAGATACAATGAAATTTTTTACAATGAGGGTAGTGAAACACTGGAACAGGCTGCCCAGAGAGGTGGTAGATGTCCCATCCCCAGGAACATTCAAGGTCAGGTTGGACGGGGCTCTGCGCAACCTCATCTAGTTGAAGATGTCCCTGCTCATTGCAGGGGGGTTGGACTAAATGGGACCTTTCTATTATTCAATGAAATACTGGCTCTAGACAAGTCATATTATCTGGAGAAAAACTGTCCATATGAAAAGAACATTCTACAAAGCTGTTGGGAAAGTGAGCACTTAAGAGATGTAAAATAACACTTCTCTTCTAAAAATCATTCATATGGTAGCAGTAGGCCATGTCAGTTTCTACAGTAAGAACAATTTGTGTGAGTCTGTAAAACCTACTGCAATGACATCAGGTGAAAAAAATACATAGCCTCCTCTTGGACAGCAAGCCCAAGCAAGCGAGCTGCGGGCAGCTCCCCGGAGCGTGGCCACGCTGCCTGGTGGCAGGCCCTGCCAGGTCAGCTCCCAAAGACCCTGCTCATCTCTGTTCACAAGGCCAACCCTCACAACTGTTCCAGGGAGTACTCACGTACAGGCAGCACAGCTGGGGTTGTTGCAGACGTACTTTTTTTGTGCATGAAGAAAATCTGAATTTTTGGAATAAGTTACTATTGTCTATAATTACTTCCACAAAACCAAACAGTCGGTCTGCAATTGATTAATCGGATACTTAGCTCAGTATACTATTCTTCCCCACAGATTTAAAAAGCTTCTCTAATTTCTGTTTCTTCCTAGCACACACACTTCAGTTTAATGACAACTCATTTTCATTAGCCAATCAACACTGCTCCAATCAGTGGCAAGCACACTTGCTCTTGGAGCACTCGGGCTTATGCTGCAACCTGAAAAGGCAAGCCATTTACTTAGCACAACTACAAGCTTTCACACTGCTCATACCTGCACCCAAAAGGGGTTTCAGACACTTGACCATCAGTACTAATAAACCAGCAGAACACCATCTATCTTCAGGCTTGTGAGAGCAGAAGCAAGCCATCAACTCGAGATTTGCATCTAGAAAAGTTCAGCTGGTGCCTGTCAGCCTGCATGGCTGCACAAAACTGAACGGTAGCCTCTCATGAAGAGCACAGCCTTTCTGGCACTCTAATGGCTGGACAATTTTCTGCCTCCTTACTAAAACTGGTGCACAACAGTGAAGTTGGAACTCCCTGTAATGGCAACTCATTATCACTATTCCACATTGCCCAGAAGGCCAAGAGGAAAATACACCTCCTTTTAGAGCTTTAATGAGCCACCGAGGAGTACCCTCATTGTAACAACCTCTACTGAAAGAAATTAAGATGGGAGGCACTAATACCTAAAATGAAAATCTGGACTTAAGATCAAAATAAGGATGCTTTGGTTTCTCGTTGCTCCTTGTTTGTTGGTGTTTTTTTGTATTCTGGTTTTTAATTTCTTTGAAATCACTACAGCAACTTGGCTAACGAGGGCCAACACCACACTGCATTTAAGGTAAGGGTAACTGGCAGTGGATGTCTGAAGGGCTTTCATTCTTTTGGCCAACACACAGAAAACCAGCCTATTAACAGTCAAGGGAAGAATCATGCGTCAACCCCTGCCCCAAGAGCTGAACTGCTCAAAATAGGCCTGTAAGACCTAATTTTGAGGGAGTAAGCACTGCCAAATAGGACAGTGACCAACTAGCCCTAGCCTGAATATGGTAAATGGAAAACATCAGCGCCCTGTGCACTCTGAGCAGTCAACATAAAAACATACGCCAGCTACTGCTTCTCCTTGTGTGTTCCCCTTAACTCGGGGTGCCTCTACAGCAGGTGTACGGCTCAGACATCCACTGCCATAGGAGGAATCTGCTGCATGTAGAGGCAAAGACTGCCAGGATACATGTTGCTCATAGTGGCCTGCTTTAAAAAGTTCCTGGGTCTATGCACTGGATTAGAGAAGTGCATTAATTCCTTTGTTTTAAGGACTCCCATTTGCAACCGTGTATGTACAAAAAAGGAAACAGCATTTGAGAGAGGCAAGACAACGGTGACAGTAACAACCTCAAAAAGGAGTTTTCAAATTATCAGTCATTACACAGACTTGTAAGACTGGTGTGTCCATCCTCCTGTTCTTCATAACTTGCAGCACAGCTGGTGGAAGATGGTTTTTCATTCTGGTTTGATCTTCAGGGAGATGGTTTGTCTTTTTAGAAAATACCTGGGCTTTAAGTCATCCTCCTTTAAAATAATGAAAACTAAGTATCCTTCCTCAAGGGGCAGTTTCTAATACTTTAGTTTCAGGAACCAAAGTAACCCAGGTGACAGGTTACATTTAGGCTTTTCAGATATCTGCACTGCGCTGCTGTGATGAACCATCCAAACCAGAGACTTAAGTTTCCACCTCTCATTTCTGTGGTCCCTAAGACAGCAGGAGGAACCTTCAACTTACCAAGTAAACGAAACACTTAACTGTAATGAGGACAAGTGCAAGAGCTTAGTGGCAAGCATTTGGAACATGGTATTTTTTCCTTTAACTAGCAAAGGTGTTACCTTTTGTTGCAATACTTAGGATTTCTAAGGTTTATAGAAAGTTTGTAAAATGTAGAGATATCCCTTTTAAAAAGTCTTCTATAGATCCTAAATTATCAACAGTATAACTGTAAATTAACATATATAGCAAACATTTTTTCCCACTTAAGTTTGAGCCATGCAGACACCTGATCACATCTGAGTTAATAGATTTTGTGATCTATTATAAGGTTATTCAGAATTACCATTCTGTGTTATGCAATTATCATCTCACATCTCCTAAAGAAGAACTGATTAACGTACCTTCAAAGACATCAGTCATTTTGCAGATGTGAGCAAAGTTAGCTCCATTTGCCCATGTATACACAACATCCATTAGATTGGGTCTGAAAGAATTTAAGTAATTTTCTTCATCAATTTCCAGTTTTGCTTCTGCTGACACTTTCGCAATTCTTTTTGCACATTCCTTTAAAATAAAATATTTAAGTTTATAATATGCTTACACAGATGGAAGTGTTTAACCAACAGAAAGGCTTGCGTATTATTAGGTACTGCATACAGGGTGACTCTTCCTTTTTAGTGTGAAATTATTCAGAATCAGAAAGTAAGCCACTGTTTACGTTAAGTTGGCCTGCACTAACCACTTACAGTGTAGTAAGCAAGGTTGTAAGAGTTTTTAAAGGTATGTTCTAAATTAGCATAAGGATTTCTTGCAAACAAGATAACCCATTACGACACACTGCAAAACCGCATGCGGTGCCAGCCGAATTCACTGATGATCCAAAATCAAGTCTTCACCGTCTGCTTACTGATCGTTCTCCTACACTTCGCCCATGTTAACCCCGAGCTCAGACAGGTTTCTAAGGGACAGATTACCTGCATTTGCCGAAGTGGTCCGGCCAACTGCTCTGTCAGTTTTGGCATTTCACTGGACTGAAAAAGAAGACATTAAATAAGCTGGTGCGCTCCCATACATTTGCTCTATACCAAATTAAATGCAAAAATAGAAGTTCGATGTGTGCTAGGTGCCATCCTAAATTATTCCAATGACTTCTCAAAACTGTTATCAAACACTAAAAATTTACTGAATTCCCCAAGTACTCATCCCTCAAACTAAATCACAAAATGAAATCTTTCTGTACAGTAAACCAACAGTATGGGAAAAAGCATCTCCTTTCTGAATAATTCAAAAATTGCCTCTATGTAGCTGTTCCATAGTTCTGAACTACCAAAACGCTGATCATTTACTGCTTTAACAAGCTTTTCCTGACAAATATAAAAAGCAAATGCTAAGAATGTAAACATCGGTGGTTATGTACGAAAATATGGCTATTTAAATACAGCAGCACTTTTATGTCCTTCCTACCTGTTTAGGCCCTGAACCACAATATTCTAACTAACAACTCACCTTGCCATCCCTTCAACTAACAAAAGTAATTCATTAGCATCTGCTGCTAATGTGCTTTCCACATCTAGCATCAACCTGAGTTCTACATCTTGCTAGTTACCTGCATTAATATTTTACATGGAAGTTCATTTTTACTGTCTACCACTGATGATGACACTAATCTTTACACAGCTTGTAGGTAGGAAAACAATGGCATCTGGTATTAAATGCCCAAGTGTTTGCTTTTAATAACATATGGTCTGTTTTTAACACTCTTTTGGTATCAGTTCCATTTAGTACTGCCATTTCCATCAATAGGTCAAGGGTACTGACCAAATAACGTAACATGGGCGTTAAATCAGAATTAAAGGCACCCTCACCCCAGACTGCAGGAGCAGATATTGATAAGCCTCTTTTTTGAAATAGTTATTCTATATTTTAAATTATAAGGATGTGTGCGTGCATACCTACATAAATACAAGCACGTATGCTGAGAATCTATTAACACTGCTTCATTGCATGAGGAGGAAACTGTTGTAGGTTCATTACAAGGACTGAAATTTTACGCAACCTTCGGCACATCACTCATGAGAAATGGTATTTTAGCACTGAAGCTGCAATGCTTTTGGGAAGTTCAATGGGAGTTCATGTCAAACACCTTAGGAAAGGATAACAAATGTGCAATGGCTCGTACTCTTATGACCAATTTCTGGAACTGAATTATAAACAATACTGTTGGTAGACAGGAACGTATAGAATTCATGAACAGAAGAAGTAACTCACATTCTCTTGAAATACAAAACAGCTTAGCAGTGCAGTTGCTTGTTCTGCAGATAAGTCATTGAAGAGACCATTAAACATCATTTCTGTCAGGAGTAGTTCATCAGCACTAAAGTAAAGAGAAAGAGAAGGAAGCTTAGAGAAAAGACCTACTGAAACGTAATTTTCAAATGAAGTACTATTAATCTGTTTTGTGAAGCAACTGGATGTAGATCAGAAACAACAGCTTCTTAGTTTTTCCTTACAGACCACCAAATACTGATATATTAGCTTTTTAAGGGGGATGATACTTAATTAGTAAGAGAGTGAGACAGTATTTTAAAGAAACTAAAAGCTCTTACTGAACTGGAAAGAATCTCTCCTGATAGTTCATAAAAGTTAGCATTAACAGTTGCTTTAGTCAGTTTTTATCAGACAGGATGTCAAGAGAGTGAAAAGAACCAGTTAGGCAGCTTATGAACAGACTAAAACTCGTACTGCTGCTGCTCAAAACACATTCAACTGGGTATTTCAAAGGTACTGAGAAGAGAAACAAACTTGCTTGATTCAATTTACTTGAAGGAAGTGCATGATGTGGATGAAAAATCCAAATACAGTATTTGGATAAAAAAATTAAATGTTGATAAGGCTACACCTTTATTTTTACAGTCTATCAGACAAGTGCAGCGGATGGAGAAAAAGGTAGATTTTTTTTTTACAAAGAAAAGTGTAACTTATCAGCAAACAGCTCCTGAAAGTCAGGAATTTGATAAAATTCTGATTCAGCTTTCCCCAGATTTTGCAGGGGAAAAAAGTTATTAAGACACTGAACAAATACAGGTAACATCTTTCAAACTACATGTAAGGCAAAGAGTACAGCAGTCACTGTAACTTTTAAAAATACATAATTTACCAAAATCTAAGTTTCGCTCTGAAGTACTAAAGTCTGATTCACGAGTTTCCGTGCAATCTTTACAGTATGCTTCAACACAGATGTACCTACTAAATGTATTGCAATAAAATGCATGACCTCCATACATTTGTCCAACAGCCCTATGGAAGCAATTAAGCTGTACTCCAACTTCTCAGCGACTTGGTAATTGCTGACAATCACCATTACACCCTTGTTTATGAGTGACTCTGTACTAAGAGCCCTTAGGAAGTGTAACCATAGAAACCAAGACCATCCTCTCCTGTAATGTACAACAGTAAACAAAAACACACAATTACATAAGCTGTGTAAAAAAACAGCCATTGTTTTAGCATTTTCATGTCCACATTTTAGTTTTAAAATCTATTGTATTTTGCCCTAAAGTTGCAATCTTTACTGCTTCAATCAGTATATATTCTCTTTATGACACAGACCACACAGTCTCTGAAGAATCTTTCTTCTAATGGTCTCAGAACTTTAAAATATAAACATGATATACTAATTACAGCCATGACAATAAAGCATGCATTCATGACAATGACCACTTTGCACAGAAACCAATTACCTGCTGATTTCACAAGCAACTCGTCCTTTCATCTCAATGACATCTGAAGACGTGGCAAACCCCAGCCTTCTCAAAACACGCTTGCGGCATTTGAGTTCATCCATTTGTAAGACAGTTCTGGCTTTCTTCAGTTCTCGCTTTGCTGCTCTAATATCCATAGCAATCTAGGGGGTCAGAAGGAGAGAAGCCACATGTTTCTTGTTTAACAAATGCAACTGTTTTAAAAACAGTTTAAACTTACATAAAGGCCTCAGAACAACAGTATATGGACATACTAGTTAACATAGACTCCAAGAAGAAGGTTTTAAACAAAATTTAAAAAAAAAAAAAAAAAAAGAAAGAAAAAAAATTAGCTCCATTTACCCACAGTAAACTCTGGCAAGTTTGGGAAGTTAAGCTATTTACCCAGAGCGGGGGAAAAAACCCAACCAGCCCACACCAGAAAACCACAGAAGAGATCTTTGGTTGAGAAATGAGTGCTCATCTTCTGAGACCTGCACTAAGTCTCAGCTAACCAACTATTCAATCAAATGTAACCCAAAGGCATAATTTCCTGCTAGTAGAGCTCCTCCAGCATCTTGTAGTTTATCAGTCACTGTTAACAACCCGACAGCAGGGTGTACAGTGCAGACACCCTTGCAGATGCCTGCTTGGTCCATCAGGTCTTACCGCACGCCACTTTGTGCTGCCCATACCAGAACCACCTCACTTCTCTGAAGCGACTCCTGGAGACCCTGTTTGCTGGAGCAGCACTGAAGCACAAGAGCTGCCTTTGTGCACAACCAGTTTCAGTCTAGCAGGGTACGACTCCATACAAAATAAATAAAAGTGTATTGCTTCCAGGCTGGGAGTCAGCAGCACACTGATTTACATGGTACACTCCCCAAGCTAATAAGCCCCATCAATTCAACTTAGCTCTGCACAAGCACATTAAAAATGATCAATTACCTGTGAAGACTGTACCTACACTGTATTGTGCTATGTCTATTCAGTGTCAAAGAGTCTACTGGCATCTCTGTAACCTTCTAATCCCTGATCAGTCTTCTTTTCAGATGTATTTCCTGTCTGTATCAATCAAGGGCATATCACTGACTCAGCCAGTTTATTACTGAGATTCAATAATTTTACTGTATTTAAAAAGGATTTAGGGCTTACTAATTTAAAAAGTATTATTTGGGCTTTGCAAATAAAAAGAAAAACAAGTAAGAAGGGGACTAGTAGTGTCTCCATCTTCAGCTAAATACAGATACTGTGTTTTGTTTTGTATTTTTACCTGTGCTTTTTTTTCACAAAGTTTGTATACAGTTTCCAAGTTGGGATCATTGTGAACAGGATGTGAATACATCCTGTGCTCAAATGCCTCTACTTTTTGGATTACTTTTTTCAGTCCTTGATCTTTGATGCCCATGTCATCAATAGGGTCAAGTAATGGTACTCCATCAGGAAATCGTTTCTGTACTTCCTAAAAGGAAAAAAAAAAAAAAAAAAAAATTTTTGGCAAGATCAGTAACAGTAAAACGATACTTTTACAAATCAGCTGGCACAACTATACGGACACAGAAGGCAGTAGCGTAAGTTTGTTACACGATCTTTCAGCAGTTTTCAAAATCAGTTTAAAATGATTGCTGAGAAGGAGAAACAACTGACATACATCATGGCTTCCAACCCCTTTTAAGAATAAGGCTGAGGATGTGACACAAGCATTAGACAAATTTCTTTAGAACAAGTTGTCCTGGGTTCAAAAGCACCTCGCTAGTCAGAGCCGAGAGCTTACACAGCCTAGTGGAACTTACTTGTATAGATTTTAACACACTTTGCCTGTTGTCAACAGGCCTCAGGTCTTTTGGTATGTAAAGTCGGACACTGCTGATAGCTGAGAGAAGATGTACCAAAACAGGAACAACCTATTAAAGAGAATGCAGTAACTGGTAAATCAGTGAAAAACGTATTATTACTGTTCCATAGCAAAATTTTACAAAGGGAAAGGACAACTTGAGTACACAAGGACACAGTGGTGGGTAAAGGAATATACCAGGAAGCACGACAATGTGGGTAATCGGATAAACTATTAATAAAGGAAAAAAGTAACTTTGTCCAAATGGGAAAATTCTGTATTCAGTTAAATCTGGAGAGAGGCTACAAGTGGAAAAAAAAAAATGTTCAGCTTTTCTATTACCTTGCCTCTTACCTAATAGAATACCTCTTACAATACAAACCAGACCCATTATTGTCATATACTAAACTGGGAATGCTAACGATAGAGAACATTAAATCAGCAAATACGTATTTGTAAGTAACAAAACTATGAAGACACCATGAAGAATCAATATTGTACATCAAGCTTTAAATGGACTTTTTGGAAAACCCATGCAGACAACTGCATGCAACTGTCTCTGGTCTGAAAATTCTAATTACTTGTCTTGATATAGGGTTTCAAACCGAAAATTTTAAATAATGCAAATGCTTTCACTAAAAATTTCAATTTAATTTTAGAATGACATAGTGTCGCAAGGCTGAAGCAGTCTGAAAAGGAGAAAGAAAGAGAGGGAGAAAAAGAGAGAGGGAGAAAAAGAGAGAGGGAGAAAAAGAGAGAGGGAGAAAAAGAGAGAGGGAGAAAAAGAGAGAGGGAGAAAAAGAGAGAGGGAGAAAAAGAAAGAGGGAGAAAAAGAAAGAGGGAGAAAAAGAGAGAGGGAGAAAAAGAGAGAGGGAGAAAAAGAGAGAGGGAGAAAAAGAGAGAAGAGAGAGAGAAAGAAGGAAAGACAGACAGACAGACAGACGGAAAGACAGACAGAAAGAAAAGAAAGAAAGAAAAGAAAGAATTCTGTTCCCAGAGACAGAAGATACTGCTAAGAAAAAGAGAGAGGGAGAAAAAGAGAGAGGGAGAGAGAGAGGGAGAAAAAGAGAAAGGGAGAGAGAAAGGGAGAGAGAAAGGGAGAGCGAAAGGGAGAGCGAAAGGGAGCGAGCGAGAGAGCGAGAGCGAGAGCGAAAGAGAG